TCAAGCGTTTCTGACGCCCTTCTTGATTTCTCAGAGAACGGCTCGAATCATGATATTTTGCCACAAAAGAATAAGTCTATTAACTTATTATTCACTAATATTCATCGTGATGTTTGGCGTTGTTAATAAATAATAGTCATTGTTAAGTTCATCCCATCAAATCTGACTGCTGGAAAAAAACGTAATATTTGATCTCTGAACTTTGTAAGTGCATATTTTGTCAGCTGAACTTCCGATTAAGGCAATTAGTTTCATTTTGCAGCAGAGTTTGCCCAAATATCCTGCTTCTCGCCTCCAAGGTAGGTCATTAAACTTACATAAAAATCCAAAATTTCGCCAAATTAGTTAGAGAGCTTTGCCTGTTACCAACTCGGAGTGTTTTTTGCATTTTATGATGTTTGAATCTTAACTACTTATTTCTCAACTAATGAAGAAGCTTAGTGGATTTATTTTATGCAAGATTATTCTCATAAAATACATTTGTATCAAATCGCAGGCGTTTTGATAGTTAGCACTAGCCCTTTAGATGACTTCGGACTTCACAGAGGGGAGGAACAGACAAAGTCTCAAAATGTGGAATGGGGGGGGGAACAGAGGAGAGGTTCGCAGCTGTAAAAGAGACAGACAGACGCAAAGTAAGAGAAAAAGAAAAGGTGAGTACTGTGGAAGTGGGCGAACATGCATTACAGTGGGATTATAGTAGTTTGAAGTGAGAAGTCAACTTTCGGTTTATGGACTTTTTGCCGTATGAGTATACGTTTCCCAGGGTGCACCACGGACTCTTTTGCCGTGTATACGTTGCCCAGGGTGCACCAGTTTGTTTGCCGTATGAGTATACGTTTCCCAGGGTGCACCACGTGAAGGTTAGTCTATCGCACACCCCTTATTCTCATAAAATTGGTCTGTGTATTAGTGACATGGTAACTAAAAGCAAGTCAGACATATTATACTGATTTTCTGTCATCAGGTCCTGAATGAGGGCAAGGCAACAAAAGTCATTACTGAAATTTGTGTGCAGGTGCTTAAGATCCACCGAAGTCGACCTTGGTTTAAAAGATTTGAGCTGGACAAAATGAATTTTAAGTGGTGCTCCAAAATCAGGAAGACGGATAAATTTCGAAGATAGTGTGACAAAATTTCGGCTTGAAACGGATCCTGGAAGAACTATCGCAAAAAGCCCACACATTTCCGAAATCAACATGGTTAGGACGGGAATCATAGTTAGGCCACCAAGTTACACCCATTGTAACAGAGATGAGTGAAATAACGACTGTACTTTTATTGTCGAGGCAATTAATCAAAGCCGAAGGATTATTTCCTGCTTATCTGGGCTCCATGATTGATTTTCCTCACTTATTTCAGTTGTAACACTGACTAACAAGACAGCCAGGTCAAGCCCAGATAGCTACATGAACCTAAAGCAACATTAATGACATGAATGTGACAAGATTGTAGAGCTTTCAACTTCATAATCTTTACGTAGGTTACAAATGTTAAAGAGGGAGATCTCGATGTTGAAATCGAAAATTCTGCACAATTGTCATAGTACCGCTCTTTTTTTCTTAATAGTTTCAATCTTTACGGATTTCGATAGCTTCTGTTCTTACCTTTACTTCCTAGACGTTCTCCTAAAGTTAATTAGATTTTTTCGGTTTGGGGAATATACATAAGGCTGTGGTGCCTCTTCTCCTCAATATAACAAAATAAACGTAATAACAGAACGAGATAAATAACAGCTTAAGTCAATTAAACATGACACAATTTCATCAACTGTATAACAATTATATTTAACACAAAATAAGCCAGTTTATGAAAAGAGAGGGGCTAATAGTTCCTATAAGCTAAATAGCGGTCCACCTTAGTAGTACTTAGAGATAAGTAACTTGAACGGAGGAGAATTCAGGGGGATTGAGAATATCGCTTGCGCTCTGAATGAGTCTCAGCTCGTATCGATCCACTTTCTCCATCGAATTGGTTGGATCTAATAAATCAAAGTTAAGGGTTAATCAATATTTTTATATGATTTTAATATAAAGGTACTAAAGGCGAACTTTTGAAACACTATGGATAAGTATAACGTACCCGATTCGAGTAGTTTTGCATATTCCAAAGTTCTCCTAAGAACAGCCTGCATCGTGCATTGGATTTTGTAGAGCACTTTCTAGAAAACAATTAAGAAGAGTATGAGTAAATATAATTTGCATAGGTGAACACTGGAGCACTCACCAATTCCTTCGCACAAATTACATTGGGAACCAAGAGACATGGATTTCAAAAAAACTCCAGAGAAAGTATATTATGATTTGATTACTTTACAACGGCCTAAGTACACACAATTAGGCAGATATATGTGATAAGCTAGACTGCGTGAAGAAGTCAATCTCACTCAAATCGCAGTGTTTAAGAAGGGAGATTTATCTCGTGGTCAAACAGTTATACGCGATTCCACACATGGGCAATGCCTAACTTGGATAGAAAGAAGCTCTCCTGGATCCGCTCTGATGGAAATTAATCAACAAGTTTAGTCACTAATGTTATAAGTGTGACCTTTTATAGTGCAACCGGAAAATCAGAATGTCTTCATCACCTTTTGAACCTTATATATTAGAGTTCACCATGAGTGAACACGGCGTACACAATTCTGCCCATTGCAGCTTTTTTAGTGATACAACTGTAAGTAACTGAACATCGTTTAAAGTCATATAGGGTCTTAACAACTAAAAAATGGGCTTAATTGGAAAGACCAACCTTGATTTGAAAAAAAAGTGGATGCCGTAGACAAGCATTTGCTTTAACCAGGAGAATGAGTCATGACATTAGAATTTTCGGAAATTGAACAACTAAACCAGCAAATATTGTACAACTCGAAGAGAAAAATCAAATTAAATTAGACTCTTAGAAACCTTGACTTTGCTCTCAGCATCCTTCGATAGAGCCTCGTCTAAATTCAATTGCCTCCCACAATTGAAACAGCTAAACGACTTCCTACTGCTATGGGTGATAATAATAAAGAGCATAATGTTGGAAAAAGTGCATAATCAGAAAATTTTAATTAGAGAACAGGGGGATATTTCAAATTCATAGGGATTTCACTAATTCCCCACTCAGGTGCTGAGAATATGTTTTTGTCTTCCTAAAAGAGGCTTTGACAAGATAATCTCATTAAATATGAAGATAATCCTAACATTATGAAAACTATCGATTTCTTTTCTGTGAACAATGATGAATAAAAATGATAATGCCAACGACCTAAGTGAATTTACATTTTTTTGAAAAGGAAATTGAGATGATTGACTTTGGAAGTAAAAATTTCCTTAGCATCTTAGAAGATTAGTCTTAGCTGATTCACCTCTGCACTCTGCATCGATAATCAAGACAGTATTCGCACGATCACCCCTCAATGTACACACAAGCAGCCATTCGTCCATTTCAACTATCCCATTCCTGCAATGGCGATTAGTAATAATTGAAAGAGGATGGCTAAAAATATATCTGTAGGTTCAGAAAAAGGATACCGTGTTGCCTTCTAATGGGGTCGATTTCCAGGCTTCCTGCTTGACAGATGTACTAGTTAACCGCTGTCACAGACGGAAAAAACATCCAAAGCCCATTAGGAGAAGTGTCGGGGGAAATTGACCACGATGGATTTAGGGTATCCTAGACATGATTTTGCAAGAAGCTGCTATTCAAATACCTTTCTTGTCAATTATAGTTAACCAGAGTGGTTCGTCACCCACATTATCAAATAGGCATTGATCTCATGACCTCTAAATTGGGGGACTGTGCCAAAAAAAGAAAATTCGTACCTCCTCGTTAGTTATTGTAGTTAGATATTAGCTAAAGTTGCTAATACTCCTTCAGCACGCTAAAGAACTTCGTTTGAATGAGGCTAACCATCAATAGCAAAATATGCTTCTAATTAATCACACTCTACGGGAATAACAATAGGTAGATATTATTAAAGTTCATTTGCTTCCTCACTCTTAGTGACAATTTTAATTCCAAAAAGAAAACAGATAACTCCCTTGAAAGAAGGGTTTGAGAAATTAATAATATATAATAGGGCATACTTTACATAAGAAAGTCAAAGCTATAAACTGTTTCTATAAAAGAATGCTATTAATACGACTAATTAATAGCATAAACTTTTATTTCAAATAGTTTTCAAAACATTTGTCAACATTGTATTGCTATTATAACTTTCTATGCAAAACCTTGACTACAGTTTGAAGTCCGGATTTTATAATTTTCTCCAACATCCATCCGCTATGATCTTTTTAAATACTCTATTTGGCACAATCTTTTGATCAATAAAAATAAAAAGGATCAGACAAAGGGAAATGCTGCCATTAATTCCACTGCAAGATGAGCATAAGAATGATACGAGGTCAAATTAAAGAAGTAAACAGAGAACAATTGAATTAAGGTGGAGTGCAGTGGTTACGAAGCAGAATAATTAATATTTAATCACATGTGCTAAATAACAATCTGTGAAGTAAAACCAAGACCATACTAAACTACGGACCTCGCAAGCTAATAAGAAAGCGAAACCATCTAAAACGCTCAATCCCCGCAACCAACCAAAACAAAGTAGAATACCGACAAAATGGCCACACATTGAACTATTCATCGACTGAAGTCGTCCTGTCCACGATCTACCAAGGAATGTATTGGCCACCACACGAAAAAGCTTAACTTAAAGACTTGCAAATGTATAGATGATCAAGAAAATAACAAATAATCAAAAATACTAAGAAGTCAGAAACCTATTCATTGCAAATGTAAACAGCCAAATTTATGAAAAGGACACAAAAAACGGCTTACAGGACACAGATCATATAATGAAGTTCCGAATGCTTTCTACGTAGGCTTTACTCGATTCATACGTAACTCAATCTTGTTGAAAATTAAATTATGTGATCCGTAATGAAAGAAGTTACCCCTCATTTACCCTGGCAAGTGTATTTAACAAAATTATTAGTCATTCAAGAAATAAATTTTTAAGAAAGGTATAAATCTTGGAACCTAATCTTCGTAAAAACTGGCGTCGAATATTGCAAAAATGTGGTGGATGTAATCATTGGCGAAACACTAAGGCATACTAACAGTTCCAAGGCATCGCAAACCTTAAAACTCACTTTCAAGTCAAATTGACCATTTTGTTTTTCAAAGTAGATCAGGGTAAGACTACCGAATAGATCGCCAGTGCCAAAGAAGGTTGCATTTAGTTTGGGGAAGAGAGCTCTGACCAATTGAGCTGAAAGGGCAATGAGAAATGGGGAAACGATGGCACCTTACCTTCCCGAGAATAATCACCGGAAAACTGTCTGCACTTTCGCTCTTCCGCTAACTTTGGCTGATGACTTATGTAAGTAGCGAGAAGTGCATCTCCGTGTTCATCAACGAAGGGTAATTCCGTGCTGGTAAATATGATAGTGGGAATTCGATAAGTGGAATGGAGAGTATCAATGCAATTAATAGCCGACTGTTCATCGGTTATTTTACATCCGGTCAGAAGCCTGGAAAGTAATCACGATTAATTAAGAAGCAAATGAAATACTACTCTGCTTCAAATTGATTTGGCATAAGAACATCAGCTATAGTAAGAATTTTCTCCTTATAAATAGAAATTAATTCCTCTGGGACGTACTTAAATTAAAAATAAGTAAATCAAAATTTAAAGGCTTACGATTTTGCCGTTATCCCCAATGACAGGATCGCAATCTAAAAAATGAGCAATAAAAATTAAACTTACAAAATCTGCTTTGTGGATTGGTTGATTTGATATCTTTGGCTATTTCAGCCAGTTTAAGCAAGAAATTTGGATCGCCGACGTATCCTGTTAGTAGAGCATCGTAATTAGCAGAACCGTTCATCTTTAGTGAATTGAAAATTGTATCCAAATGCTCGAGAGAAAGAACTTGTCCTGTACAATAACTATATTCTAAACACTTATAAGCTATATTCATCAGAGGCTACGTGTGTGGCAGGATAGCTGAACTGAGTTTATATTGTCAACTTCAAATTTATGCAGCTATATTGCAAACGATATTAAGTGTTATCATTAAAAAATACCTGCAAAGGGAATACTGCACTTCGGTTTCCAACATACCCATGCACTACATGGCTTTGGATAGACAAAACACGTTTAGAATCTTCCATCTCGTAGCAGGAGCCCCTGTGAATTCGTATTGCCACAATCAAACGATCACGTTCGTTGAAGAAAACAAACGACAAATAGAATTGCATGGTATAAATAATAAAACAAAATAAAAGATTAATATTTTGCATTAAAATAAATTATATTGTTTTAAGTGTAAAATCTATCAAATTCATCGTCACAGTTGCATGATTATTTCTACAAGTTATTAAAACTTAATGACAAGATGAAATTAATTTTATGAACTCCTCACGTTTTTATCTTAAATATGCTTTTTGTTAGACATTTATATTTCGCTGATAACCTTCATTTCTTTTACTTCTATTATCATCACCACTATTATATCATAAAACATATGTCAATAAATTTACTCTAACTAACATGCTCAAAATACGTTCACTCACATTTACTCACATTGAATTTTATTGAAATTTGAAGGTCAGAGTTTCTTAAAGTATTCCATGAAAATTAACATCTTCGGATCTATAAGAAATTCTGTTAGTTAGTTTTTGACAAAATATCCGGTAATATATGTCAATATTGTATAAACTCTATAACCGTTTTTTAACTTAAGCCAGTTAGAGTTGTCACTTTGATTAACTGTGAAAATTAATGACGCGAAATAAAAGCATTATAAAGACTGCAATATGTAAATGATCTTCGTTGTCATAGCATTATCCAGAAATAGTAAACTAAATATTAGAAACTCGGAATTTTGTTCAATTTCATCTCATTCTACTTATTTATTTAGATTAAACGGCAAACTTTATGATACCTACCATTATCCCTTTAATTGACTTCGGGCTACAGGGAGGGGTGGAACATTAAAGCCACATAAATTTATGAGGGAGAACAGAAGAGATGAAACGAAACAGAGTGGAAGCGGCCGAATATGACATATAGTTGGGCCATGGTGGTTAGAAGTCAACTGCCGGTTAATAGACCTCTTTGCCGTACGATTAAACTTTACCCAGCATGCATCACTTAGATGTAAATCTGTCGCGCTTTCTTGATTCTTCGTATTATTTATATCAAATGGCAGGCGTTTTGATAGTTATCATTAGCCCTGGAGCTGACTTCGGGGCTTCACAGATAGAAGAAGGAACATCGAAGTGACAAAAGTCGAGTGGGGAACAGAAGAGTGATGCACAGACGTAAAAGAGGGAGACAGACACAAAGGCATAAAAAAGGTAAGATGAGTACTGTGGAAGGGGCCGAATATGACATACAGTGGGATGATGGTAGTTCAGAAGGGGTCGAATATGACAACCAGGGCGGTCGTGGTAGTGAAGGGGCCGAATCTGTGGATGGGGCCGAATATGACAAATAGTCGTGCCATAGTAGTTTGAAGTCACCGATCAATGGACTTTTTTGCCGTATAAGTATACGTTGTCCAGGGTACACCACGTGGAGGTAAGTCCATTGTGCACCCCAGATTCTTCGTATAACTTTGCTTAAAGCTGTAAAATTTATTGTAATTGTTGTGCGATATTCATTCTTAGGCTGATTATTGTATTTTTTGTGACCAATTCAATAATTTAAAACAATATGAAATTTTGGAAGCAGTCGCAAAGAAGCAACCAGTTCTCATGAAAATATTAGCTTTACTTAATATTCAGTGTCAGATTAACCATACACAACTATAACTTTGGAAGTATTTAAGCCATAGTCAAGGTAGCTATTTTGCATAAGCGGTCCGATTATTAATTCACATGAATTTAATATTAATTGACATCATTAAATTGGCGCAAATGTTGCTAAGACGTGAAGGCGCATTTTAAATTAGCAAAGAAACGAGACAGGAAATCAATTTATCATTAACGATTTAATTAAATAAATATGTAACTTTGACTTATAAAATATAAAAGGTCAAGAATATAAATACAAACATATTTTAATGTCAAACGCTCAGACTATTTGATGAATGGACTCTTATTAACCATATGCATCGAACTAAAAGAGTATAAATGAATACACGCACATAATTACTTTAATGTTCATTATGAAATCTCAACACATCCACTTATCTCGTTTCATTATCTCTGGTCATTATTAAAGTATGCATAATTATTTTTAGGGAAAACAAAGTACTAAGCTAATTGGTTATGAAGCTAAAGAGTAAGAATATGTGAATAGTTAAGTACTTCACTGAGATGGCAGCGAGGAATGGAAAATGGGAAATATATACTATCAGAAGATAGGAAGTGCTTCAAAGCGTCCAGCTGTAGGATCTGACGGGATGGAGGGATTAGAGAAGTAACTATGTGGTGGAAACGTTGAAGAGGGATCAGGGAAGGAAGATTAGGCGCTAATGTCCTAAGATAAATAGTCGGTAGGCATTTGAAATAATTTAAAATAATTGGCATCCACCCCGCAAAGATAGCCATGAGGATATAAAAAGGAGGAGTAGGTAAGTGCTCTCTGATAATCATCCCAGTCTCCACAGGAGGCATATTCGGATGAAGTCGATAAGTGCATGACGACAACAACTGGTCCATTGATATCGGCTCTGGTAATCTTCAAGCTATCTACTAAAGTTAACTCGGACCCCGGAAAGAGTTAATCAAAAATATCCTCATGAATACACATGAGGATATTTGAGAGCCAACGACCTGATATAATACGCTGACGTTATTTTTCAAGAGAAAACATCCTTTTTTAGTTTTTGCTTTTTAATCCCGTACCGGATTGAACGAATAAAATTCGCCAGATATTTATGGATCTCAAATAAGACTTTGTAGCGGATTGCTACCTTAGTAAAGCCTGACTGACTCAGAAATCCTTATGGCAGACTCCCCAACATCTAGCTAGACTCCCAGAACCAGCTAAGCTATAGCCCAGCCATAAAGGAAACAGAACGTGTAGCACGGAGCACGTTTATTCAGTGCGTGTATCGCGGTTAAAGTGTGCACACAGGGAGCTACTCATAATCTTGATGGGGGTTTAGGTTAAACAGAGGTTGATGATTGGTCACTGTTTGTACGGTCGCTGCCAAATCTGGCGAGCAGACATGCAGGAGTACGATGAC